CTCTCTCTCTCTCTCTCTCTCTCTCTCTCTCTCTCTCTCCCTCCCCCCCTCTCTCACTCTCTTACAGTGTCCCGTTGTAGTCAAGCCTTCAATTTTTGAGACAACAAAGTTTCAAATCGCCAATGAGTTCGTCGACAAATCTCGCAAATATGTTTTATACAACCGATTTAATGCGAACCGATTCATTGTGACCCGATACGACCTCACGAGTTTTCGCGACTCACAGTGACGCGCAATCGGCGCCAAATTTCCGGCAACGTGTCGTTCTTTTCCGCAGAATTTGCTACGAACGCGAAGTCTGATATTAATATTATCGCATTCATAATCAAAGATGTACATGTCATGACACAGGTGTCATCGATTTTCCGTGCGATAATATTTTTGATATTAATAGCCAAAACGATTCTAAATTTGTAAAATTATTCGCATAGAAAATTGTATGAAATGTGCAATGAGCTATCGAATAATTGACTATTTGAACATATTTGGATGTGTTTATTTATCTGAATATATTTATGAGATATATTTTAATGTCACGATTATATTATTGTGATTATATTAAATGAAATATATACATACAAGCTACTATGATGTATAATAATATCCTATTCTATACATACACTACACATACACATATTCACACATACATTACACATATATTCTACACATACACTATTCTACACTGCGAGATAATAAAGGCAAATTGCAAAAAATAATATTCTGATCTATAACATCGGCCAATTTTTGTCTTACACTAGACAGGAGATATGAGCAAAAAAATGGTGCGTTAAAAACGATTGAGATACCACTTTATGACGCCATCGATCATGGAGTCAATCGTTGTATTGAGCGATATGAAGTGACACGTGCACACAAATCACGCGAATATAATTTCTAAAACGACGTCATGAAACTTTCCACAGAACTTATAGAAAACGCGAAGAATCGATTTAAGTATCAACGAAGCGAGAACGGTTGATTGGTATTGGTTACTGGAGATAATTTTTGCAAATTCTCGTCCGGGAATATACAATATCAGCCGACTTGTTTTTCATTCAATGATACCGCGGATATCACAGGAAAAACAAAACGATACCGACAATTTAGATTTAGCATTGCGTTATTGAAAGAAAAGTATGATTTATGCAAAGACGAATCAATTGTCGATATATCCGTAGTTTAATTTTGAAAAAGATGGAAATAATATTTGTTAATAAGCTAATTTTTTCAACATATTTCCAAATAGTTAAACATGGAATTTTAACTTAATAGAAATAATTTTAATTTTGTTATTCATATTATAAATACCAGACGTCATATATACTTCTAGTGTTATGATAAATTACTAGAATTTTTTGTACGATTTTTACATATACATGGTGTCCCACTTTAACTTTCACACCAAAATATTTCGAAATGTACAAAAGATACGGAAAAATGTTTCAAACAACAATTATAAGGTTCGACGGAAGACATAAGAGGGCACTATCGATTTGACATTGGATAGCGCCGCCAAAGTCAGGTCAAGGTCACTTGGAATTTTTTAAATGAAACTCCCTATTTTTTATTACATATTCTTGTAGCTTATGTTGAGAGCTTTCCAAAACATTATAATAATGTAATTTTTCATTAAGTAATTTTTGAGTAATAAAACTTGGAATTTACAGTACCGCCGGCATTATCATTACCCAAAGTGTACCATCAGAAGATTTCTCAGCTCGATCGGATTTACACCTTTTTATATTTATATGTGTGTGTCCGTGCGTGCCTGCGCGTGTGTATGCATGTGTGTGCGTGGATGGATGCATGTATGATTAGGTGAATGTTTGCGATAATATATTAAGGAACAGATAAGGACTGAGGACCGTCATATCACACCTACCCATTTAGACACGTACGCACACGCACACACACACACACACACACACACATATACGAAAGAGGTGTAAATTCAATCCAACAACCTCCATGTGATACACCTTGAGTAATGCTAATGTCGGCGATATTATAAATTTCAAGTTTCATTACTCAAAGAATACTTAATGAAAAACTACGTTATTATAATGTTCTTGGAAAGCTTTTATATTTAAAAATATTTATGAAAAACATTTTTTATAAATACTTGTATGAAAAGATTATAATTTATGAAAAATTTATGATAAATATTTTTCATAAAGATTTTTAAATATTTATCATAATCTTTTTCATACTTGAAAATCTCGGACATTAGAATATATATATATATATATATATATATATATATATATATAT